GTGCAATTATTAAATAAAGTAGCCAGGAACTTGGAATAATGTGCCCTTTCTGACTTTGTTCTCCCAGAGATACAACTGTATTCTATCATTGGAATGTGTAACTTATTGGAGCAGATGAGAAATCTGAAATCACCTCTGCTTTTCTCCACCTGAATTTCTAACAGGCTGGGCCATGAGGGTCATGCAGGAAACCAGCACAGACTGGTGCAGTTGTCCAAGCTCATGGAATGCCCAGTTGCTATTGCCAAGTAGAGACCCACATGGGGTAGTTGCAGGTCTGAGCACACAGCAGCACACATTTTCAGGGGCAAGTGAGGGTAGGGGTGGGTGAGATGGGGTGGAGAATTATTCAGGGGTCACTGGAGCATCCTGTATGCCATGCTTACAAACTTGGAATGTCCTACAGATTCTGGGGGGTCATTACCTCCTGTCCACGGTGTATGTCTCTGAAGGTTGGAAACGGGCCCATGCCCCAGAACATTTGTTCAGTACTGTGGTCCAAAGTAGTGAAGACATGGATTGGGAATCTGCATGGATTGGGACTCTGTAAGCATATACCTCGGGAAGGGCAGGAAGGTGGCCCTAGATGTTCACAAAGTTCTCAGAGGCCTCGATGGGCCACCAGGAATGGTGGATATTGGAGTGACAGACCGGCTCCAGGTCTTAGTCCTCTTGACAGAGAGAGATTCCCAGGTATCACCAGGCTCTACTGAGTCCAAATGTTCTTGCTGGTCCAGTGGCCAAGGGGCGTGGCATGGTGTGCATCTGGGCCTTGATTCAAGCTGCCCACTTGGGAAGGGCAAGTAGAGCCAGAAATCCAGCTCCAGGGGACTTTGTGACTCACTCTCTTGTCCATTCCAGGGACTAGAGTCCGTTACGATATGTTCAAGTCCGAAAAACAAGCAGCCAGCAACCATGAATTTTCTGTGTTGAGGAATTGTTAATCTTGTCCAAAAGGTAATGCATATGGGCGCCTGGGGGGCTCAGTCGGTTAATCATCTGACTTCGGCTCCAGGTCACGATCTCAAGGCTTGTGAGTTCGAGCCCTGAGTCGGGCTCTGTGCTGACAGCTCAGAGCCTGGAGCCTGCTTGGGATTCTGTGTCTCCCTCTCTCTCTGCCCCTCCCCCACTCTTCACACTCAGATTGGCTACGTTCCCCAGTTGCGGGAAGTTCCAGATTTCTAAGATTTCATCTGGAAAAAAAAAAAAAGATATGAGTTTGAAAAACGGAAGCTGAAATAATTGTTTTATAATTTCAGTCTAAGGCTGTTCTGTTGGTGAGACAAACAATAGGCTTTTGATTAAAATGGCATTGTAATAGGGACAACTACTGAGACCAGGTTTGAGCATTCCATAAATATGAATTTGTTATATCAGAATGCACGCAAGGATGTCCCTAGCACTCTGATCTGAGTCATACATAAATCATGAACAATTGTGGTGTGTTTATTTTTTTTCCTCTAAAACACATGACAATGGATCATCGCCTTTCTGTTAGAATCCTTAAGCTTCTCTGAGAATGTAACCTTGAGTACATTTGGACCACTGACGGATGAATGCATTTCAAAATTAAGATTATTGCATAGAATCCTTCTTATGAATATGAGTGGTTATTATGAAGGGAAATAAAATTACTTTAGCTTCTTTAACTGTAATATTCTCTGTCTATTTTCATATGTTAATTCTCATAAGCTCATTATTTGTACTCAAGTTGCTTCTCCCCCTAAGTGATAAGTAGTGATTCTTTAAAGTTGTTTTGCCATTTCACTTGTTAAAAGCCATAATTTGTGAATAATTCTTGTAGCTTTGAAACATTTCAGGGATCCTCTATTTTTTTGGACAGAAGTAGTATTCATCAGATTATTCATAAGAATGACATTCATTGGGGCGCCTGGGTGGCGCAGTCGGTTAAGCGTCCGACTTCAGCCAGGTCACGATCTCGTGGTCCGTGAGTTCGAGCCCTGCGTTGGGCTCTGGGCTGATGGCTCAGAGCCTGGAGCCTGTTTCCGATTCTGTGTCTCCCTCTCTCTCTGCCCCTCCCCCGTTCATGCTCTGTCTCTCTCTGTCCCAAAAATAATAAACGTTAAAAAAAAAAAATTAAAAAAAAAAAAAAAGAATGACATTCATTTAGTGGGATTCGAATGCCTTTTCATGATGCCAGAAAAAGAAAATGAGATTGGGTCTTGACACTTTTTTGCTCCAGGAATCTTAGTAGAAAATAGAGACATTTCAGATTGAAAACAGCAGTTACTGGGGGTTTGGGATGACTCCTGAGCCTTTACCTTGCGTGGATGTAATTCAGCGAGAAACACACCGAATGCTTGGAAAACACTGTCCAACTCCACAGCCGCTCCTCTCCAGGTGCCTCAGAGGATGTGACCACCTTGTTTTAGACCACACATATTCTCAAGATTTACTCTGTTGGAGTAAATTGGAACACCGTCTTTAGAAGCCTCTGAGTTAGACTAAATAAAGACAGTTTTAAAATAAATTTTATAAATTGTTATTCCAAAGGAAGGATTACATCACAAAAGCTATTACTTTGGTTTTGTTTTTTTTTAAAGACCAAGCTTCTTATGTCTTCTTTGAGGAAAGAATAAAAAAATGACAATATGGTTTGGAACTTTGAACATTGCCTTCCACATATACATGAAAGTGTCCTTCTAGAATATTTTGAAGGAACTTACGAAGCGTTGACTTGTTTTATGATAGTTAGAATAATAAAAGCAAATACTTTTAACGCTCATAGCGGTCTTCTTAGTGTGTGACTCCCCATTGACAGTTAAGTGACTCCTTGCTGTACTGCTGGGAGACTGGACTCCCCATGGTATAATTATGCGCTATCTGCACAGTTATTCCCATTGACCTGATGAGAAAACTGAGGCTTAGGAAAGGGTGAGTGCCACCGGAAGAGTAGGCAGCCTGGCCAACGCCAGCCCCACCCAAGTCTGGCTCCAAAATCTATGCTAAGGTCTCATTAGGTTTCCAGCTTAAGGGGAGACTGTAAATAGTGAGATGACAGTGGTGTGAGTGCAGGGGGCTGACGGGGTAGCATCGGGAAAGACTCTCGAAGGAATCTGTGTGGCGGCCAAGGCTGGGAAAAAAGCAGGCTTCGCAAGACGGGCATTAATGGAAATAACCCTGTCTTGCTCTCAACCTTCAAGGTAGTGGCGAGGCCCCCGGGACCTCTTTAGGTACAGGCAGAATAACGCAGGCCTGGTCTGCTCACCGTGCTGGCATCCCCTGAGAAAGTTCTAGGCTAACACTCAAGTTAACACGGTTGACTGTGAACTGTAGACAACCCCCCTCCTCTGGAATTTTCTGAAATATTAATGATGCCCCAGTAATAACTCAACAGCTTTGTGCTTCCAGTGTGCACACCCATATATATGTGTGTGTGTGTGTGTGTGTGTGTGTATATGATGTGTGTGTATATATATATATATGATGTGTATATATATATATATATATATGATTGGGAAGAAAGCTAATTATAGTGAAATGCTGATATCAATAAATTAGAAATTGTAATATAATAAGTCTCCTTAGTTATTAGCACATTAAATAACAAAATCCGGTGGTGAGTTGAATACTGCTATTTTGAAGTAATGAGAATCATAAATAATATTTCTAGATAGCCGTGACAACAATGACTGCTATAAAAATGTCTGTAACTTAGGATGGTAACAAACTTGTGGGCACTACTGAAAACATTGTGATTTGCCTGTCTTCACGATTAAAGAAAATGCTGAATTTTAGCTAGAGGTTAATGAAAATGAAGGTGTCGTTTTTGTTTTTTGTTTTCTATTTGTCTCTGTAGGCTTCTTAAATGCTATTTGTATTCCATATTATGAACCAGGTCAGGCAGGGTTCCTTGATTCAGTGTGTCTGAAAAGCCCTCCTAGGCTTTTCACTGGACTTCTCATGAATCTTTAGATCAACCTGGGGACGACTGATCCTTTAAAAATACTGTCTTCCTGTTGGCGACGACTGGAGTCTGTATTTTATGTAATGTCTTTCAATACAGTTGTTATAATAATCCCCATAAATGTTTTTCAGTTTTGGAAGATTCATTCCTAGATACTTTATGTGTTTTGTTATTATTTGATGTTCTGGTTAATTTGTTTTCTAACCCTAGATTGAGTTTAAAATGAAATCGGGCTATTAAGCTAGTCAGTTACTTTTGGATTTTCCACCTGCACAATCATATCATCTGGAAGTGATGACAGTTCCTTTTTTTGTTTTTTCCCAATTCTGCGCTTTTAATTTTTAAATGTTCTCTTATGTACTGATAGGCCTTTCAGAGAAGCATTCAACAGAAGTGGTGATGCCTATTAAAATCTTCTTTTTGATTTTAAAGGAAATTCTTCTAATAGTTCCCCATTGAGGGGCAGTGGGCTGGAGCCAACTTTTAGCAGGTAGCAAGAGCCAATCATTAACTTCTCATGAATTTTGTAAGTCAGCTGTTAAAATACAGCCGTCATTAAAGATGAAATGATAGGAAGTTACAATTAAGTAAATCATGTTAAAAACAAAGGTAAATTTTCCAAACACACAACTTAATTACTTAATTTCATGGCCTTTTCCTATTTATTATCTGTGGCTGGATGTTGTTTCTCTATCTTGTATTTGCATATGGTGGAAATACTATCTAATGACATGACATGTGTGAACCTCTTTCCAATTCCATGATTGATGATGTCACGTTGACAGCTTCGAAGTGGCCACCATGGGAATCTTTACCCCACGGAAAATGGCCAAGGTTCCCAATCAGGGCTTTTATTTGCTTTAAGGGACCGTGGTTGTACATTTACTAACACGTTTCTGCTTAAGACTGATGTTTGTTTGCTGCAGGGTCTCGCATTTTCTTAACCTGTCAACTAAAAAGAAAAGAAGGAAGGACAGGAGCAAGGGTGGGAGGGAAGAAGAGAGGGAAGGAGAGAAGAAGACAGAACAGCCTCGAGCAGTGGGTTAACCTGAACTTGGTATTTTCCGCACAGATAGCTGTGACGCCCCGCTGGCATCCACCTTGCCTCGAGCGTCCTTCAGCAGCTCCTCGGAGCTGTCCAGCAGCCACGGCCCTGGGTTTGCAAGTCTTAATCGCAGAGATGGTGAGTCTGATGCCGTCGTGTTGCTAATCCATCATGATTCTGCCTCAGAATAATTATTCTTCGTTAATATTCATTCTTGCGGTTCAAAAAGTAATTGTATCGCAGTTTAATGAAAATGAGGAAGCAGGTTCAACATGTTATCATTTTGCTAGCTCCCTCCTTCTTTAGTATTAATCTCTTTTGTTTGTTTTGACATCTCCCTTCCCTGTTGGTTGCCAGCAAATGATCGTAAATGAGGTTCAGATCAGAAGGGAATTATTGGAGGCTCTAGACTATTTCCTATTTTATCATCCCTTTTTGGTTTTAGAACACTCTGGATGGGTGACTAGTCAAGTATGCTTCTCATGAGTAACTAAAACGAGTGAATGAGCCAATGTCACAGGCACTGGAGAACACTTAACAAGCCACTGCCTGGCATCCGTGCGATGTGAAGCTGCCATGGGATCGTGATGGGGAAACGGTTCCGTCCCAGGACGTGGCCTGGCAGGTACCTGGGTGACAGCTCCTGTTGGAAACAGGTTCCCTTCCTATCGGTGGGAAGGGAGCTAATGGCTTTCTTTTTTGGAGATGCATTCATTCACTCTTGCCTCTTGAGTGTCACTGATTAAATTACTTTTTATCTTTTGCACAAATACTAGTTCAGTGGATTAAATAAGTTAATAAGCACACTTAAAAATCAAATATTTTACTACCTTTTCAAGGGATAGATTAGGGGCACCTGGCTAGCTCAGTCAGAAGAGTGTGTGACTCTTGATCTTGGGGTCATGAGTTTGAGCTCCCATGTTGGGTGTAGAGATTACCTAAAAGTGAAGGGATAGATGCATTTTTTTGGTGAGATTAATTCAGAAAGTAAAATTTTAAATTAACCATGTCCCTTATAAATGTAAAGTCTGCAGGTATTTCTAAGGAACTGAGTATTTCTCTCCCTTCCTTTGGTATTTCTAAGATCATAGTTTAAGTATAGCTTGAATTTTATCATGTCCTTAAAAATCAAGTGTGGGAACCCAGTAAGTGGCCAAATAGACTGGAAGGGCGGAGTAAGGACACAATGAAGACTTCTGGTGAGTTTAGGGTGGGAGAGCATGCCCGCTGTTGACCCGACGACCACCTTCACGGCCGTTTACTATGAAGAAGCATTTCTGGCCAGATATTTACTCCTCCAGATAATTACAAAGCATCATTCATGATAATTTTTAGCATTCCAGTAAAAATCTCTTCTCATTTGAAGCTAGGTTCCAATTAATAATTAAATGAGTCAGAGGCACCTGGGTGGCGCAGTTGGTTAAGGGTCCAACCCTTGATGTCGGCTCAGGTCGTGATCTCACTGTTTGGGAGTCCGAGCCCCGCGTCGGGTCCTGTGCTGATGGCATGGTGCCTGCTTGACATTTTCTCTCCCCCTCTCTGCCCCTCCCCTTCTTGGGCTCGCGCATGTCCTCTCTCTCTCTCTCTCTTTCTCTCTCAAAATAAATAAATAAACATTAAAAAAGTAAATGATCAAATTTACTATATTTGGTCTGGTGGTTACTCTAATAGCCAGCTCAACATCTAAACTTTCCAGTGGTTGCCCAAAGACTGTCAAAACTAAATAAGCACCATATTTAATTAGTTTAAAGAATCCCAGTGGGCCTGTGTATTGTGTTTCTGATTTGCACGGACAGAATATCTTTATGATTCAGGCCTCTTGTGCTGTCAGTATGGTGACACTGGGAAGTTTATAAACATTAGAAGGGAAAATCCTGATGTTTGAGATGAATTTATTTCTACTACATTTAATTAAGAAATTAATAACAGCATATGATAAGCAGCCTTTATAAAATGGTAAGTATAAAGCTTATTTATTATGTTCAGACCACTCTCTTTGCAAATTTAATTTTTTTAAGAGAGTGGCAATCAACTGACGAGGTTGTTGCTACTCTAATTGTACACAATGCACATTTCACTGACTGTTCCTTCATTTTACCGTCTGATTTCATATGCATTCCTAAAATGAGACTGAGATACACAGTTTATCAATCAATATTCCTTCGGAAGGATTATCTGTGTATATTTTCTGTTAAAAGCCAGCATCCCAGATTCTTTCCTGCCATTTCCTTTGCCTTTGTAAATGCTGGAGAACGTGTTGGTTCACTTCAGTTTAGGGTATTATGATGCAAAATGTGAATTGTATAAAATGTGGATGATTATAATGATGATGATGATTCTTCATACATAGTAGTTTTAGCTTTTTTGAAACTTCTGTGCGTGATCTGCTGACAAAGATCTTGTTAGACTACCTGATTTTATGACTAGTTTCCTTGGTCTGTGTTGTGGGACTTGGAGGTTTTAAAGAAGGTGGTCTTTCTTACCTTCCTAGTTTCTCATTTTGCATAGAAGTCATTGAGCTTTTACGACTTTGTATGAAAAATTAGAAATATCTGAAATATCATGGCCTCTTCCGGGAATTTTATATATAGCTGATCACTGCATAGAGTAGTAAGAATATGTATCTGCAAGTCAAAGGGGAGAGGGGTTCAGTTCAAGGGGTCCAGAAAGCCATGACTCCTGACTCCTACGTAACCACATGTTTTTCAGTGTTTTCTTGTGAGTTCTCTAATGGAAGTGCCAGTCATTGTGGAGATAATGCTGAGTTAGTATCATCTCTCAACATAAGACTAAGTGCTCCTGTAATTTATTTTTGAAATCTCTATTCGGGTTCCTTTAAAGTTCCCATTATGATGTCCGGAGTTGGGTTCCCGATGATACATTGCACAAAATGCCCACACTGATGCAATGCACGCTACTGTTTTATACAAAGGAACATAAATTGTCGAAAAGTTAGCATCCCCATGTGCCTGAATGTGTAATTTTTCAAAACTGATAGATTTTAAGAAGTAAATCATAGACACATACATTTATTCATGTACCTGCTCCAGAAAATTGATGCCATTAGAGAAAAGTGTAAAGTCCTTGAAAATTGGGTTTGATCGTTCATATTGGCTGATTTTGTTTCCATCAATATTAAATTGAATATTTCCTAAAATTACAAGTTATCTAATGTTTCTTATGCAAAATCAAGACTGCAGGAATCTGGCTGTATAATATAAATAAGAACATGCTTGACTTCATATCTGTCTTCTCAAAAATCTCCTAAAGACTCTTTTTACTCCCAAGTTCATGCAGACAAAAGTTAATTAACAAAAACAGCCCCTCCCCGCCAACTATGTTCTAGTAAGCCATGCTAGACTTGTACTCTGCATTTTGCTTGTGAAATAGCCTTCTGTGTTTTTCCAATTATTGTTACGCCGGGTGACCCTTCCTCCAGCTGGCTCAGTAGCACTGCAGAGGCTGTTTTCCAGCTCTGGACACCATGTTCTTTTCAGTCATGTGATCTGTAAGTGCAGGCGTGATGGTGAGATGCGTGGTCTTGCCGGAAGCTATTTGAAATTGACTAGGAAGAAACATGCACACACGCTGTCCTCCCTGTGTGTTCCCCTCAAATGCTTGCATGAACACTCACTTTGGGAGAGACGAGCTGCTCTGTTCCTCACCCGGATGCTGAACATCATGCGTTGTAATGCAGCAAGTCACGTCATTGGTGACAATGCAGTGAGATTGCTTTAAACTTAACTTTATTGGGGCACCTGGTCAGTTAAGCGCCCAACTCTTGATTTCAGCTCAGGTCATGATCTCACACTTTGTGAGATCGAGCCCCGTGTCAGGCTTCATGCTGACAATGTGGTGTGGGACCTGCCTGGGACTCTGTCTCTCCCTCCCTCTCTCTCTGCCCCTCCCCCACTTGTTCTCTTTTTCTCTCCCTCAAAATAAATAAGCATTAAAACAAATAAACTTAGGGGAACCTGGGTAGCTCCGTCGGTTAAGGGTCCGACTTCGGCTCAGGTCATGATCTCGCAGTCTGTGAATTCGAGCCCCGTGTCAGGGTCTGTGCTGACAGCTCGGAGCCTGCTTCTGATTCCGTGTCTCCCTCTCTCTGTGCCCTTCCCCTGTTTGCACTCTGTCTCTCTCTCAAAAATAAGTAAACATTAAAAAAAAAAAAAACAAAAAAAACAACTTTCTCAAAAACGGCATTTCAGGATACCACGCTTGGTTGTTGCACACAGAAAGTCAGTGGGGGAAAACTGAACCGACTAGGTGTTTTCTTTTCTCTTTGAATTTTCCATCTTTTCCATATGGAGACATTGAGCCCATAAAATGCAGACTGCATTACTGGGCAGAGTCAGGAAAGATTTTTGTCTAATGATGCCAATACAATTTATGGCTGAGCATTTCAGAAACTGTTCTCAGATTTACAGTATTTATTTCTTGGTAATGAAGTTGAGTGACAAGTACGAGTTTATACTGTAGGTTTTAGCAAGATAAAGAAAACTGACTACATTAGGGAAAGTGCTTAGATATGCTTTCTTATAACATGGGGACTCCGATTACTTGAACTCTGCAATATTCTACACGGGACATGATGTAAAAGTCATTGGTTTTTAACAAAGAAATGTTTTTAAAAATTGAAAGAGTAAGTAAAGTGAAAATGTGTCAACTCCCGACATGCATCGAAATATTACCTCAGAAATGTTTGATGCAAATCTCATAGTAGTAAACTTTTCTGTCATTTTTTTTTTCATTAAATTGCAGTTCCTGTATATTCCTATCTTTTGTTCACAGGCCAGGAGGCTGATGGAATTGGCCGGTATTCCCAGATGAGAGACTGAGCAATTGCAGTGAAGGGTCTTGGACACCAGATTCTGAATTCTGTTTATCTGTCCTCCTTAAAAGTTTGTAGACCTAGTAGGACTAATACACATTCTCTTTTTAATTTTTTTTAAAGTTTATTTATTTAGTTAGTTAGTTATTGGGAGAGTACGAGCAGGGGAGGGGCAGAGAGGGACGGAGAGAGAGAGAGACAGAGCACAAGCTGGGGAGAGGCAGAGAGAAAGGGAGACGCAAAACCCAAAGCAGGCTCCAGGCTCTGAGCTGTCAGCACAGAGCCTGACGTGGGGCTCCAACCCATG